AGGGCCCTGCCAGCTCACTGCAGAGTGGTCAGTTCTGGCCAGTTTTGCTAAGCCAGGCCCATTTGGGGTGAGGAGAGGGTGGGAGCACCCCAGCCCTCCCCAGTAGCTTGTCATGGTGGAGGAGGAAGCCCATTCACCCAGAAGAGGGCCTCAGGAGGCATCTTCAAGATGACTGAAGTTGCCCTGCACAAGGGGAGAGCTGGAGGGAATGGGTGCGATGAGAGAAGAGTCTCGTGCATCCGTGAGGCCAGCCTGTGATTGTCTTGAAGATTCTGAGTCACAAGACATCAGGCACACAGGCGTGAATTGTAAATGCCTGCACAGCAGAAGGTAAGTGACTCTGGATTATCCAGACCATTGACCGAGCCCTGCTCCATGCCAGTGCAGTCCTGGCCTGAGGACACAACCCTCACATCCAGACAGACCTGAGCAGCTAATGCACGTGCGCAGAAGAGCCAAGAGGCGAACCGTGAATCCCCCCCTTGAGGAGAAGAGGATGGGGAGGGCCAAACAGAAAGAACTGAGACTGGAGGCATCTGTTTAGGCACCCAGAGAAAGTCTCACTTGGACATAGCAGCAAATAGAACAGACGCCAGTGCCATCATGGAGCCGAGACTTGAGCACACAGGGACCTTGGCGTGGAGCACGAGGGTGCCAAGGCCTGCAGGTGGCCGACTTGTGTGCTCTGGTGCCATGCTCAGATTTGACGGGATGACCCTGCTATCACCTGCTTTGTGAGCCACACAGGCCTGCGTCAGAGACTATGGACCACCAGCCTGGGCAACACAGATAGTGAGACCCGTCTCCACTTAGAAGATAATTAGGCAGCTGTGGTGGTGCATGCTTGTGGTTCCTGCTACTCGGGAGGCAGAGGCAGGAGCATCGCTTGAGTGTGGGAGGTTGAGGTTGCAGTGAGCTGGGATGGCACATGGCGCTCCAGCCTGGGTAACAGAGTGAGCCCGTCTCAAAAAAAGAACGGGTGGCCCAACAGGTGAAAACAATGGACGAGGCCCCGGGAGAAGTCCCTGCCCTTCTCTGCACCACTGCCTCCCGGTTCCTGGACTGCCAGCAGGTAGAGGGGCCAGGATGCCGTCCGGGGGGCCTGCTGAGGGGGTCCAACCTTCCTATACCTGCCCTTTAGCAGAGGCAGGCTGGGGCGGTCCTCATGTGAGGGGCTCTTGTTCCAGGGCAGGGGCAGAGCCGCTCCTCTCCATTCTGCCAGGCAAGACTCCTTAGTGCTCTTCCGTTGGGCAGAACTGACCAAGACTCAGAACATTCAATGTCAGCAGCCAGCTGGGGACAGGATCTGCCTGCACAGTTGAGGGTTGGGGGCGGGGGACACTCTAGAGGGACACGTTCAGGCCTCCCGGGGGGGTGCGGGCTTCTGGGCACGTCCACCAGGCATGCACACTGGCCACCCCACCCTGCTCTCGCTCACCGACAAGGTCTCTGGCAGCCCTTACGGAAATGTTTCCATTTCATCCTGTGTCCTCCTGTCTCAAACTCCTTTGGGCTAGAGACCCCAATGGGTCATCGAGGTGGGGCCAGCTGGACTGTGTACAGGCTTCACGTTTAAAATCTAGCATGGAAATGAAACTGAGGTGCTCCTAGACCACAGTGGGGTATAAGAAGGAAGCTGCTCCCCTTCCCCTCCCTGGCTCTGGCCTGGAAGCGTGTAATGAGTCCCTCTCCCCACCTCCAGCTTCTCCCTCTAAGCAGGAATGGGCCCTGCTGGCACCACACAGAGACCCCTACGTAGGTGAGAGAGCAGGCCCTTTTCCTGGGAGCAGGAACTTGGTCTTGGACACGCCCACACCACCCATGTCACTCCTCAGTTCTAACTCATGAAGCAACCAGGGTTCCTGGGCTCCGTGACCTGGAATCATTCTGCTGCACCTGCACTGAGGGTTCAAGCACTCCTCACTGTAGGCCACGCCTGGTCCTCTTCCGGTCACCAGCCCACAGGCAGCAGTTGGGCTGAGGGGATGACAGACCTGGGTCCTCAGCCTCCCTGGGCATTGGTTTCTCCATCTGCATCTGAGAGTGATGGGCAGGCGGGCATCGGGCGGGGACAGGAGAGAGAGAGATGCAGATGCAGTCTGCTTCCTGGATGCCAGACCAAGTGGTCTAGTTTCCAAGGCTTGTGTTTTTGGGGGACTCTTTATCAGATGGGATCACTCCTCTCAGGCCATTCCTTGTGGCTGCAGTGGCACTAAGCTCTCAGACTGCCTGGCTGCCCCTGTGACCTCAGGTGCCCACTCCCATCGGGCCCTGCCTTCTCGCCTTCCTATGCCTCTGGTGCTGGTCCTGTGTCTGCCCCCTCTTCTGGGGTATGTTCTCCCACCACCCTGCACATCACTGCCCTTTTAAATTCTTTTTGAAATGGGGTCTCGCTCTGTTGCCCAGGCTGGAGTGTAGCGGTGTGATCACAGCTCACTGTAGCCTCCATCTCCTGGGCTCAAGCAGTTCTCCCACCTCAGCCTCCCAAGGAACTGGGACTACAAGTGTGCACCACCAAGCCTGGCTAATTTATTTTTTAGAGATGGGG